AGTCGAAAAGTGTGAAAAGTCATGCATTTTTCAGGCGATTTTTCCCGAAAAATCTACAAAATTTGGTATTTAAATGGATTGAAAAATAATAAACTGTACAGAGAGGGAGGAGGATTCGAATAAGAAGTAAGAGGGGGCCCATATGGCGCCATTTTTCAAAGCAAAATAAAATAAAAATTATTGAAAAATTCCTAAATTAATCTCAAAATATTTAAGATCATTAAACACCTCTATAAACCTCTAAAAGTGCCCTTAAAGCACCACTTGGTAGAGTCAAAGTTCTGCCATCGATGGATGTGGCGCTGCTACAAATTGCCTGTCTCTTTCTCCCTCTCTCTCTCTCTCTCTCTCTGGTCGTGGCCACGCCCCTCTGCTGGGCCTTGAGGCTCTCCTAATGACCGCACGTATAACATCTTGGCGCTGCGGTCCTGCCATAAATAACAGTAAAGCGCATTTGTCATAGGACCTAGGGGTCACAAAGGCAAAGGTGACCCCGACGCTCACCTCACCTTTCGGCCAAGTGCAGTCCTTGGCCTTTGTATCGCTGGACGTGTTCTTGTGCCTGTAAATCAGCTCATTAGTTAAGTTGGCAGCAGGCACCTCCATTCCTGCCCCACTGCCTCCCTGCCACACTGCCACACGTTCTGCTGCTGCCTCGTTCTTCGTTAAGCTTCATTTAATCAAAAACAAAAAGTTGGTCTACGAACCACGTGAAAAATCACCCCATGCTTAAGGCCTACTCCTTGCACTCCTTGCTAATAAATCTCTCGGTTTCGGATGGGCTATCAACGCTCTCGTTTCAGTGGAGAGCGGGGGTTGGGGGTGGAGCGGGGGGTTAATATACGATTTAAGGCAGTAAAATATCTGCCCAGAAAGTTCGAAAGGGATTGAACGATGCTTATGCCATTGGAAGTGGGGGGAAAATGGATGCGAATGGATGGGAATGGATGTGGATGGATGATACGTGTGTGAATCAAAAAGTTAATGAAGAGTTTTCTGCTGCCACTCCTAAAGGAAGGCATGAAGGAAGGGTTCAGAGTTCACAGAAGAAGAAATGGACCTTCATTCATATTTTGTTATTGTTTAAAACAAGCGTTTAGGGATCATTAGAGAGAGGGAGAGAGGGGAAAACTCTTTGGAAACAATAATAATAATTTGCTGGCAAATGCCCCAAAGGGAAAAGCAGGAGGGGAGAGACCCTAACGAGGGGTGGAGTGTGGAGTGGGGAAGAGCCTGCCCCACACCCTTGGTGATGGCTATAATGACGTCAAAGTTGTCAGGTAGCGATGCTTACCTTTGGCTTACCTTTTTCCGCTACTGTTACTTTCACCTTACCTGTCCCCGCCCCCTCCCCCTCCACTATGATAACGATAACGATAATGATGATAATGGAGCGCTGCTGCTGGATGCCTCGCAGGCTACTCTCTCGCTCGCTGGCTCGTCCGCTAATCTTAATTACTTTTTGTTTAATTACTTTGACGTTTTGGAGGCGCCTCCTCGTCCGCCATTGTTTCCACTTTTCAACGCCCGAGGGTTGCATGCAGCATTGCGCCGCACCGCACCGCAGCAGCGAAGCGGCTGCTTTTCTTTTAAAATAAATAATGTTTACTTATTATTTTTGTTTTTTTTTTTCCTGCTTTTTTCCTGGAAAAACTTTCCATCGCTAAAACAAAAGAAAAAGGCGAACCTTTTTTTCGTTAAGACAAATAAAGGCCCAGCATATGCTTTTAGGCGGTTCTACCTGCTTGCCCCGTGCCCCTTGCCCCTTGCCCCCTTGCCCCTTGCCCCCTGCCCCTTGAATTAGGGGCCATTTTCCTGGAAAGGTATTTTCCTAGCTACATATTTTGTAAACTAATTTAGTGATTAAAATCTGTAAAAAGGCAGAAGTCCTCGAGGGCCCCCGCCCCCACCCCACGGCCACGCAGTAGGGAGAGGGGGATGGGGAGGGAAAAGCCTAACCTAACCAATTAACATAATAATGTTGATTTTTTATGGCCGAAAGTTTTGTCATTGACTTTTGGGGATCAAAATGTTTGCCCAAGGACCTGCCACAAGCCTCCAGGAGTGGAATATGTTGTCACAGAAGAGCGAAGGGCGGGGGCCGGGGGCGGGGGGGGGCCATGTAGTAGTGTATAGGCCATGAAATTGTTTGATTGCACATTAAGTGGTGCTGTTTTCTGTGTGCCACAAAGTACGCAACGCACCACAGAAAGAGAGAGAGGGAGAGCTAGAGAGAGAGCTGCCTCCTGCAACACGAATAATTTATGGGGAAAATCACAAAACCGAAACCAGAGAAAGACACACCGGAAAAGTGGAAAAGTGGCCAATATAAATTCCACAAAGAGAAAGACCCAAGAGGGGAGGGGAGTTCGGGGGAAGGGAATAAATGCTGTGGGAATGTGGAATGCTTGTGCGTGGATGTTAGACGGGAGTGATACCCTGGAATGTTGATGGTTTTTAGGGAATTTTATTTGGAAGAAATATTTAAAGATTTATTGGAAGAACTATGAAAAAGAGTTTCATTAGGGATATGGAAATGATAATTGAAGGAATGAATAAGTCGAAGGACTTACCAAGAAGCCTCAAATAAATAAATGAAAATATATATCAAAAAGGAAGTCGTATGGGTATTGTCTTTATTGACAAAATAACAATGAGAAAATAGAATAATTTAAACACAGAATTGAAGGCCAGAAACAGAATCAGTACAGAACGCCTACAGTTACCGAATCCATAGGCCGGAGAAGAGTCTTGCGGCCGAAGGATGTCGCCTCTGCGGTACACGGCCTGAGTGAAGGGCTGCTCGCTGTTCATGGTGATGGTGTCGATTGTGTGGCAGGCGTACCTCACGCTGCAGACCCTCAGCCGAGCCTCAGTGCTGCTCAGCGGTCTCCTGGCCATCGAGCGGACGCCCCCCAAGGTGGCCATTGGCTGTGGAGCCTGCACAGATCTGCAAATCAATGCCACGGAGTACCTCAGCCGCCGGGGAGGTCCTCAGAAACGAAGACGAGCTGCCTATTATTTTCAAAGCGGAGCCGCTGCGGAGCTTGTGCTGGCGAACGACACGTTGTTCAAGCAATTGATTGAGTTTTCCAAGGTGATGGACAAGGAGCACGTCCATTGGTACATTGGCTGTGCGGTTTTTCATGGAGGGAGCTGAGGTCCTGCTGGGCGCACACAAGTCCAGAAAACTGCGCTGCCTGCTGCTCCAGGAGATTCGGCTGGCGGGCTAGGAGATCCTGGAGCACATGGCGGGCGATGTCTGGGGTCCGTATGTGCCAATCGCTTCATACTGCACAGCGACAAGAACAATCCGCACATCAGAGCCGTGGAGGAGATGACAAATGCCTTGAGGACTTATCAGCCCCAGTTGCTGGCCACTAACCAGTGGCCTTCAGATGATGGACGTTTTCAGCATTGGACCGGGAGAGCGAGAGAAGCGCCTGCAACAAGTAAAAATGCAGCTGATCAGCCAGCTCAGTGGTACACGGAATCATTTCGAGATGGCCTCCTTTGTCGGGTTGAAGCTCCTACAAGAGCTGCGTCGGTTTGTGCTTCCCTATGTGGACTCGCTGGAGCAGGTCCTGACGCATGGTCACATCACCCTGGCGAACGACTGCAATCCACGCATTGTCCACACCCTCGATCAAATGCGACAGGTTTTCAGCCACTACAGCGCTGAGAGTCGTAGCGATCCCAAGCGACGCCACACACTGGCCTATCAGCCCATCTTGACCATCGTCGACTCCCAATGGAAGAACACGCGGGCTGCGGCGGCCAAGGCGACCCCGACCGCTCATCGCTACGTCTGCAAGTCGCAGCTTATCCGTCCGGAGTCCGTGCTCCAGGTGTTGGACGACAGTTTCGCCACATCCATGCAGGAGAATGCGCCACGCATGCGCATAAGTGCGGCCAGACCGGTGCCCTGCTGAAAGCGCATCGAGGTGGAGATCTGTGTGGCCCCCGTCCTGGTCTGTCGCGTGGCCAGGAACACGTCCGGCGCAGGGGATAACACATCTGCCTCTGGCCTGGCAGCACAAATGTAGTGTATAAGAGACACGACTGCTTAGTATCTGCCTAGAAATCTGCCATACAAGACTCGAATGGAAAAGCATGGCCTCCCTCTGATGGATTTGGATACAGTACTCGTCTTATTTATCACCTTATTAGCCTTAGAAACGCGTTACCTCCGCACAAATTTGAGGAAATGACCAAGGATGCGGCACAAGAACATCGACAACCAATATTGATGGCATATCTTTAGAGACTTTACTTCTTTCTTATTTAATTGTCCATTTTATAAGAGGACTTACTCTACAAAGTCCTCAATATTTTACCAAACCTTTTTGATATGTTTGAAACATCAGCTGTAATCAGTTTTAAAATTACGAAACGTACTTTTCGAACACTATACACATACCTATTATATGGAGAATGTGTAATACAAATTCCTGTTTCGAGCGCAAAATTCTCCTAGAAATCTTCCTTGAAATTCCCCCAAAATATGCCGCAAACGTGTCACCAAATGCCTGCCGCAGCCTAAAATACCCCCAGGGCATACCCTGTAGAGGCCACACACCTACGCCACTGTGGGGAATGAAATGGAATGGGCCACGGCCCTCAAAAGTATGCTATATAAATGTTAAGGCCAGAGAGCCACAACACGGCTTATGACGTGCTTAAAAGCCACAAGAGAGGGGGAGACGGAGAGCTGTGGAAGCAGTAAAAGTAGAGCAGAAACGAGGCGAAAGAAGGCAGCAAAGGAGAACCCAAAGAGAAACGGAGAAGAGAAGGGACAAAGCAGTGAGAGCATGGAATATCCTTTCAGTTCTCTGCCATTTCGGATCTCTGCATGGAGATAATGTACCCCATTGACTTTGAAAAAGATAAATGTATCTTTTAGAAAGTAAATCTCAGTTTGCCTTTCACTCAATGTTGATGTTTGATAGAAACGAAAAAGGAAATTCCGAAAGTAACAAGCGAATCGGGGAAAAACTTTAAACTAAAATCAAATTTCAAACTAAATTCCCAGTGAAAACTACCACGAAAAAATGGTATCCAAATTCGCTTGCGTGACTGCGGGGGGCCTCCACCTGATTGGCGCCGCTTTCTTTGTGCCTCTGCCGGAGGACCAATACTCGCCAGGCCCCAAACTGGGCAGCAGTTCCTTTCTTTTGGCCGCGTTGCTGTTCCTGAGCCACATGCAGGTGATTCCCAGGCGTTTCATGCAAATGGCACCGGGAATCTTCGGTTTTGTGGAAGTGATGTTCACCGTCTTCGTCACGGAGTGGCTGATGCATGTCCTGTGGTGCGGGGTGGAGCGCTTCATCCACTGGATGTCGCGCATCTTTTGCCAGAACTGTTTGTGGTGCGAGTTCGTTGTGGAGTCCGTGTCGACCCTCCTGATGGGCCTCGCGGCGCTGTATGTGGTCTGCGAGGTGGTCTGTTCCGTGAAGATGAAAAGTGCTGTGGAACGGGCCGCTGGCAGGGCCCTGGACAACCTGCCCATTAGCCAGGGCAGTGGCTCATTCGTTCAGAGGCTCAAGGATCTCAGGACCTACATCAAGGGTGCCATATACTTCTTCCGCCTCACGAGGGAGCAGCGGATGCTCACCATTCAGGTGTTTGAGGTGCAAGTGGCGCACGCAAGGCGCGGATTTGTCCAGGAATCGCAGGAATTGCCGAGTGAAAGCCAGGAGGAACCCGAAGAGATGCAGTGCCATACCGAAGAGGAAGATTCAGAGATCCGGGAATTGTATACAGAGCTGCAGAGTCAGGAGGAACCCACAGAAGAACCCACAGAAGAACCCACAGAGGTCCTGAGTGAAGAAGAACCTTCAGAGTTTCCCAGCTACTACCCTCCGCTTTCGGAAGATGAGATGGCGTCCTTTGACCCTTGAGAGCAGAGAATCCTTCCCTCACAGAAGACTAGCCACTGTTGCAATCTCCAGAAATTGTTTATTATTTATACAAATTTATGCCACAACATCTGTTGTTTTTTTCCCCCTCCCTTCCTCCTCCCCTCCCCACCCTACCCCGTTTCTTTCTCTCCTTTTTGTTGTTGTTGTGTGGGCTTTCATTTTTCGATTTCCTTGTGGACTTTTGGGCTCTGCCTTTTATTTGCTTTTCATTTTTTGCCTCAGCGCGTTTTTTTCCATCCTCTGTCCTCCCGTTTTTAATTCCCGCCTGTCGTCGTCTTTCTCTATCCTGTTGCCATGTTAGCCGCAATAGATTTGCCGTAAATTGTATTTTTAATCTGTCCAACAAATGCCATTCCGTCGACAGGCAACAGACGACTCGACAGACGATTCGACAGTCGATGCCTCGACATTCGATTTTGTTTCGAAAGCGATTCTGTTTGTGTTTTCCTTTGCCACAGAGAGACGGGGGGGAGGAGAAGAGAGGAGAGGAGAGGAGTGGAGTGGAGTGTAGGTGTTAATGAGCGTGTCAGTTGCTTTATTTATTTATTAGGTAATGGATATCGTCTCTCTTGTAAAAAAAAGGCGTTTCGTAAAACCATTTCATTTCAATTTCTCTAAAAATCGTTGGAATAGAACTTAATTTTGTGTTTCTTCTTAAAGAAACTAAGATTTGTACAGAAGAAGGAATTTTTCCATATCTTAAGCCAAAAAGAGTATGAACGTAGGAACTCTCCAAGTTCCATCCTGATTCGGGATATCTAGAAAAAAAAAAAAAACAACAAATAGGTATCTAAATCGATGCACCCTGACCCCTAGCGTTTCTTCTTAAGGCCTTGAATAGCCTCTGGAATTTCTTTAAAATTCCAATCTCAATTCCATTTCACAGAACATCCTTTTGGATTGTATAAAACATCTAGTGTAAATTTATTTTGTAGATTTTGTTAGATGCAGCAATCGATTAAATTGCAAATTGAGCAGCAACACCTGCCCCTGCCGCCCACACAACACATCAAACGGAGAGGCACAAAACAAAAATAGAGGCAAAAAAAAACAACAGAGTTCTGGAGAAACAAAAGTCGAATATTATTGTTGGCAATTGCCTTGGAAATACATACGGGAAAAAAAGAAAAGAAAAATATGATTGACAGATGAGAGAATTGCATTAGTGTCACTCATACGTGAAACCCCCTTTCCAGCCATGTTTTTCCAGTGTTGAGTAATTGAATTTGTGCCAGTGTTGATTCGATGAGAGATGCGGAGATGCTGCTGTTTCTGGATCACGAATAAAGGTGGATAGATGGTTGCTTCCCAACGAATCAACGGGAAATGGGTGAAAGTATATTAAATATTTCACAGAACACCACCCCCTCCCCCCATGAGGCTGGCAGAAGGGATAATGAGCTTTGACATTCCTTTCGAATGCATTTGTTGGGTGGTTTTTTTCTATGACTAGGGAGATACTACTTTTTTTGAGGAGTTTGTATGGAAAATATCTTTAAATGGGAGATATTTATAGAAAATATCCTTAGATGTGGAAAAATATGGAATTTCTTACACTTTTTGTTGTAGAAAAGATCTTTAAATGGGAGATATATATAGAAAATATCCTTAGATGTGGAAAAATATGGAATGGAATGGAATATGGAATGTCGTAGAAAGTATCTTTGAATGGATGAAATTTCTTGAAAATATTCTAGAAGATACGAAATTTATGAGAAATATATGTCTATGAAGGAAAAGTATTGCCTTTCATGAGGTTTTCTTGGTTAAAAGGGAAGTTTTTCCTGGTTTGTTGGGTATTTCTCACAAAAAGTAATGAAAACTCAAAGATACAACCTATTGTGCTTGTATTTCTTGACTGTGGTGGTAATATTTATCCAAAAACTTAAACTTCTGGGAAATATGAAGTACATTTTTTTGTACTTTTCATCATTTAAGACCTCCACTTGCCTTAAATCTCTTGCCTAACTTTCGAATCAAAGTTCTTAGCAGATTATCGGGACACGCACACCGCATCCGCACTCTTTGCTCTCAGCTGCTCCTTGAATCCTTGAATACCACCCCCCGGCCACCTCTCTCTCCCTCTCCCTGTCGTTACATACTCACGCGTGTGCATAGGCAATGGATGGTGTAGAAGGGGACTCTCTGCGACTGTCAACGCAGCCCTCGAGAGGAGAGAAATATGTGAACTTCTGTCAGAGGATTCGTATCGTACATATGTCGGCATCACATTTTTAAATGTATTTTTGTGTCATGGCAGCAGCAGAGGCAGGAGTCAGAGTCTTGTTCGTGACTGCAGTAAATTCCAGACTATCCCCGAAAATAAAATAAAAATAAAGGAAAAGAAAAAGACGAAGGATGCATGTCTGCAATTTTTTAAGCAAACATTTTATTTGCTCAAATGCCAAGGAAAACCAAGTGGAGAGCAGCTTCCCAAAGAAAACTTGAGAAACTGAGACACGGAGACACTGAGACACTGGGAACCCGGCAGAATGCACATCCCACCTCAAGAAGGGAACTTCTTGCCTTTTTCTACTGTTTTTCCTGTTGTTTTTCCCTCCTTTTGTTGACATTTTGAGACAAATCTTCAATAAAATAAAAAGTAAATCAAGTGGCCAGAGCATAAATACAACTCGAGCTACCAGAAAAGGGGGAGACTAGGGAAAATGCATGTCATAAGTGGCATTGTTTGCTGGACATAAAGCTGGAATTTTGAAAGGAATTGTTCTAGTTAAAGGATGGATGATGGGAGGAATTTGCCATGGCTGTAAACCCCCTCCATAGGCCCCAAAGTTGTATCTAAGCTTTCCCTTTTGCAACCCAGAGACACCCTTCAACACCTTCTTTCATACGGAAAATCCTTGTCGGAAGCGTTTTTTGTTGGTCTTCCTTTCTGTCCTCGTGTTGTGTTTTGTGGTCAAGCATATGGCAGAACAGGACATACCACAGAAGGACATGCTACACACACTTCCTCCGGCGGGCAGCAGCAATCACGTAAAAACCCCAAAGCTCCGAAAGCCGAAAGCCCCCGAAAACACACACAGAAAAAGTTGTTAGCCAATTTACTAAAATGTCCAATGGAAGGTCTGTCTCTCTCGTTTGCCACTCTGTGTACTTTTATCCGTGTTTCGTATTGAATAACAAATTATTTGTGGCATCTGTTTAGCAGGAGGGAAAATGGACTCCGAGCGGGGGCGTTAAACGTCGCTGGTTAGAGTCCGTCCATCCGTCCATCAGTCATTGAGCCATGGATCCTATTCCCTTGTTGTTTGCTCATTCGAATGGAAACCAGGAATTAAGATAGTTTAATGTTCTCTCTGTCTCTCTCTCTCTCTTTCTCGAATGAAGTTCAGAGTTCAAACTATCTTTTTGTGGCGGCTGCTGGCTCCTCCTTCTGGGATACGTGAGTAATTTTCCAATGAATAGAAAACATTTTTGACTAGAAGCTTATAACTTTTAATACAATTTGTAGGCTCTGCTGACCTCTGACCTCGCTGGCTATCGCTCTGTGGCTTCATTAGATTTTCCCCCATTTTTTTTTTATTTTTTGCCAAAAGCCAAAGAATTTATTGCCGCAAGTTCAAAGCATTTTCGATGGCTGCCGTCGACACGCTTACTGCATTTTCAATTGCATTTCCAATAAATTCCCCATTTTTCCCAGCCTCAAGTTTCTCTTCTTCTTGTGCCTCGTTTTTCCTTTTGCCAAATTGTAGAATAGAAAGAAAATTCGCGTAGCTTTTTAATTTTCACATGACTTCCGCGAGGCAGAGAGAAATGCATTTTGAGGCCAGAGGTCGAAGATTGAGGCCAGGAGGTTCCCTCTGGGAGTTGCTCTGGGGGCATGTGGCAGGATGTGTAATTACTGGGCGTGGGCGTGTGTTAATTATCCTCCTAATTGGAGTTTGTGGCGTCGAGGAGGGAAATGGAAGGTGGTTAAAAATTGCCCCAAAGACCATGGGAGCAGTGGAATGAAATTATTGTTAAAAGCGGTGTCCTGCTTCTTAGGGACTATATTGATTGCTTATGGTGTCACAAAGGATGATGACTTTTGAACTGCTTTATAGGGAGACTTTAGATTATATATTGCCATGCCCCTCCCCCTACTTCTTCCTTTAACTACCAATATCAATCCACACTCTACGAGAACAAAGCTCACCATCGCTTTCAACAATAATTTCAGTACTTTTCCAGTCTTAATAGGAGGTTTTCTCTAGACGAAGGTCTTTATTGCTAAAATAGTATTGAAATGTGTCCTCATCTTGCACACTTTTAAACCATAATAATTCCACCAATATGCTCTATAAACGAAATACGTGTTAGGATATTTGGATAGTTTCGCCAAGAATTTTCCAATGAAAATAGCTACGATTTGGTAAAACGAATCATGTTGATAAAAAACACATTGAAATGCATGTTTTTTAGTTTTTAGTTTATTAAATTATTAATTATTTGTTAATTATTAAAATTTTTACATTTCTTACATATTTTGAACTTTATGAAAAACTTTTAACTTCATAAATATAAAATTTTTTGTATAACATTTTATTCTAAAAATTTATACGTTTCATAAAAATTAATTACTCGAAATGTTCAGTATTTCCCTATTGGTAGGTTCATATAAAATGGGATTGGAACCTCGTAGGGACACACTGAAGAATGATTACACTGCGTATACCTTTTGGAAATGTGGCCACACTGGTAATACTTAAGATCTTTCCAGGAACATCTGTTGAATCGATTTAGTTTGGCGAACCCAAACTATCGTTGGCTTCAGAGGATTTCTCGAACAAATAATGAAGAATCTTTTCTTTCGGATTCCTTCTTGTCATATTGTCATTATTGTCATATGCATCCCCAGATGCTGTTTCATCCTGGATTCGACTATATTTTATAAATTCATTCATCGAAAAAGAAAGACCCTCCAAGGTTAGAGTGATTTTTTCTCCCTCCCCAAAAAATTCCCCTGTTTAAGAAAACACTCTCAAAGAGCTTTATAAATTTTATTGCCAAGTGTTTATATCATTAAAAAATCCATAATATTTCATTCTTTACCAAACTCCTTTGT